CGTCCCCCAGCCACTCTTGTTGAAAAACATAAAAGGCAGCCAATGAGTTAAGTATGGTGTTAAAAGAACACTCCAACTTTTACTCAAGTCAATTTTTTTATATAGTACTTGTTCTTCTACTCCAGTACTTTCTACATCTCTGACCAGTATAAAACTAGACCGATTACACCGAGAGTCAGACCATGCTGACCAGACTAAAACCCCGTTGATAGGTAGTCGGTTTCTTACCCACTGGCCGGGTCCAGGGCCAGAGATCGGGGGTTGTCCAGAGATCGGGGGTTGTCCAGGTCCTTACACACCAGGACCTGCCGGTACTGGCCGTTTAACCGGGCCACCTCGATGCGGTTAGTTCCCGTATCTGCCCAGTAAATGTTTCGACCCATCCAGTCCACCGCCATGCCTTCTGGGTAATCCAGCCCAAACTCGATGACATACTCTACAGAACTGCCGTTCATGTAGGCTCTGCTGATGGTCTGGGAGGAGAAACGGGAAACAAAATAAAATGCAGACGCTTCAGGTTAAGACTAAAGCTGAAAATAAAGACGTTTAAATTATTTGATTACGGTAATAATATTTTTTCTAGCTTTGTCTAACCCTGTAATGCCAAATGTATCATATTTGATACGTACGGTTTCTGAAATGTTTTGCGTCTGACACCTTTTGCATAATTTAATGGTAAAAACTTTGCTCAAAATCCTATTGTACACAATCAGATACACCTGATAACAGGGGGCAGAAGACTACACAAAACATAATATTGACTTATCGCATAGTAATAAATTATTAATATAAAAAATGTATTTCTGTTTTTCTTTTTACATATTTTGTTAAAAGGCCAAATAAAGACTTCAAACCAAAAAAAAAAGTAAATTTCTGTTTTGTTTTCTTCTTGGATCAGGCTTTAAAGGGTTAATAGAACTATAATTCAAATCCAGTCCTATTTTTACAGCCTGGCCTACCTTGGCCTGTATGTCTGTCCAGTAAATTCTCCTTTCAGAGACGTCAAAATCCAGAGCAGAGGCCTCTTTAACTCCGGTCAGAGGGATGGCCACGTCGTTGCTGTTGGTTCCCAAAGAAATGCTTCGAATGCTGTCCCTGAGAGGAAACAGAAAAGAGAAGATCTTAATCAGCGAGTGTCAGTTTTAAAGAGTTAAACTTGAGTAATCCTGTCAAAAAGGTCTTACGAAGGGCAAAAAAAATAAAACTAAATAAATTTTTTAAAGGTGAACCGTGAATCATTCAGGTATTAATTTCTTAATTTACAATTATTGTGAACATTACAAAAAAAATCATATAAACACATTAAATAATAGAAACAATTCAAATTCTTGAATTCATAAAATTAACATAAAACCCATGAAAACATCAAAAAGATTTGCAAATCTTACAAACAAATAACGGTAGAACATAGAAAGCATATCAACCATGAGAGGGGAAGATTTTACTAATTTATAAAAAATATCAGCTCATTTTAAATTAATTTGATTTGTATGATAAAAAACTGCCTACAAACAGTAAAGTAACTTTTTTAAATTGGCTTGAAAACTGACAAAAATGGCCAATTTGACTTGTCGTTTTCAATACCTGTTATTGTTTAATAAGTTTATGTGAAATATGAAACCTATACAAAGCAAACTGCATGCTAAGACAAAGGGGGGG